GGTACAAGGAAACAAAGAAAATGTCAAAAAAAGGGACAAACGAATTTTAGCAGTGTGCAACATAACCCTTTAGAAGAGAAGTACCATTGGAAAAGCAACATCTAGCATTCAACACTTGGAACAAGAGCCTTTTTCATTGCAAGAATTAACAAAATCATTCAAGCTTTAAAATCACAGCTAACAAAAGGATAAAAAGAGGGTGCATTATTTAACACAATATGGAGTTAACAATCTGAGTAAGATGTGCACGAAGTCATATCCTCAATCCAATCAGTGCCTCCCAGGCTTGCTTAAAACGTACACTCAATTACAGGCGTACCAATATAGAAAAAAATGTAGCATCAAGAAAACTTAATACAACAAGTCAAAAAAATTCACGTGGTATATCAGCGCTAAATACGTGAAACGGCAGATGGACTTCTCCACTTACCATTCAGCACCATCGCCAGCATGGGTATGTATACAGTTACCATGGTTACTGAGAGTTTGGTGAGGGCCCTAAGCGCTACCGTCGAAGGGGGAAAATGAAAAGGCAAAATATGCAACATCTTACTCAAAAGACGACAGCATTTTCAATTGGTATTTTTTTTTAATTCTAACAAATACGACTGAGGCAGTATTGAAGGGGATCCAGTGGTACTAAACGCATTTGAGATGTTTTTTTAATAGATATGAATGGCTTAGGCCATCCGGCCAAAGTAGCCTGCTTGGGTTCATTAAAAGTTAAATGGTAAAATTGGTCAGTCTCTAGTCTGGCTTTGTTTCTTTTTCTTGTACATCTTTTGGACGCTTCTTTCCCAATCTGAATTTTTTGAAAGCCACTGTGGATCCCACATCAACCCTGCAGCAAAAAAAAAAAAAAACCAAAACGAAACAACAAAAAAAACCACCTTTTGTTTGTTTTTGTTTTGTCTGTCACACTTTTTTTTTTGTTGTTGTTCTCAATTATTTTTCTTTTTTTTGTTGGCTGGTTTTTGGAATCTACTGCACCCATTGATTTACAAAACATCCAAAATAATAACTTCAAAATATTAAAACTTTCTGTTTTTTTCAATTCTGTCATCCACCTTTCAGCAATAATGATAATAATAATAATTACAAAAGAAATAATAATAAAAAACCCAAGTAAGGCCAGATTCTCTCTCTTTATATATAAATATATATATAAACAATGGGAAGGGGTAAGGGGAGCACACAGAAGACACCAATGATGCATCTGAAACAACAAATGAGAGTGAAGCAGACATTTATAAAAAAGATGAAAAGGAAAATATTTTGAACATGCACCTCGATTTTACGGCCCTCTACCACGGTGCCGTGTAATTTCTCCCTCGCCCTGTCCGCATCAGCACTATTTTCGAAAGTTACGAAACCAAATCCCTGCATGCAGGAGGGAGAAGGGGGGAAAACAACATGCACATTATTATTTCAGTCAATGACCACTTGTTTGCTTATGTTCTCTCTCTTTAATTTAATATTTTCTTGTCCTTGCTTCATTTCTGTAACATGCAAATTAGAAAAATTATAATCGTATTGAGATGTGCAATAAATAAGCGACAAATGTGAACAAATTTTTTCTGTCATCAGTTAGATAATACCCTCTGAGAAATTCAAAGAATGATACCAAAAATACCTTTCTACATGTCACTACAGAGGAAAATAAATCTAACAATAAGAAAATAAAATTAAAATAAAATACAGTGTCTTCACATAGAAAAAAATGAACTAATGAGAAAAGAAAATGAACCACATTTTACTGACATGCAGATATCAAAACAAAAGAAAAAACATGTGCACAAAATTCAACACTGAATGTCAATATACTCTAAATCATTGCCTACTTAATCATGCTGTTGTGATCATAAGAAACATTGTTCCCATGCAACACTAGGGTAACTTAAACTTTTGTCAAACTATACAGCCTTTACTTATTTTTTTATAAAAGAAAAAAAAAAAAGAAAACCACCAACAAATCAAAAGTACTTTTAGAACAAAGTATAAACTTTCTTGTATTAACAGATCAAATAAAATCACATGATGTGAATTGAAAAAGAAACTCTGATAAAGGAATAAAAATGCAAACGTTTTGAATAAGTTTAACTGCTTCATTTACTATTTATGTTTATTACTTTCCACATATAGATCATGCAACTGGTAAAACTCCAGAATCCCGTGTTAGTGGGACTCGGCAAACATGAAATTCTGCCTATGACAAATACTTTGCTTTATAGTATTAGACTAAACAAACATTTCCAATCCTACTAAAATTTTTATTGCACTAGATTAAAAACTGGTTATAGTGGCAAATATTTTTGAAAAAAAAAAATCAGACATCACAAAGCATTTTAGAACCATACACCAACCCTTTGAAGTAATTCTTACATTAGTACTCCAATGCCTTTGCATGCTTTCCCAAAGTTATCCGAACAAATAAGCTTCTATATCCTTGGTGTTCTGTCACAAAAAACGTGCAAGTTATACAGGGTTGTTTTGTAAAGAATAGGCATTGCTGCACATATTTGATGTCCTACTACAATCTTTTACTTTACTGTTACTTCCGCTTGAACTATGGGCTTAAAGTTTTCCCCTGTTCTGTTCCTCAGAACATGCGTCATGTCTCCCCGTTCTCCAGCCCGTTGGCTAAGCTTTGAGGTCAGTGGTCACCCACTTACTCTCTGCAGTTCTACCTACTACGGTACACACTGACTGCTTGAAAAATAAAAAAGAAAGAACAAAATGGAACTGAAAATATTTATTTATACATTTTATACAAAGAACAGACCAAATAATAAATTAAGGCAAAACTGACACCAAGCATTGAGAAAAACAAGAGATATGAACTACAAAATGAATTAATTGATAAAAAGAGTTTAGAAACTCTCGGGGATCATTATGAGAGTTATCTGGGCTATTTTACCTACTCAAAGAACACTTTTATTGATGTGAATTTATAACACAGAAAGTGACATTAATATACATTAGCTTAGCAGTTTATGTTCCATTCTCTTCGAAGTAGCCCAAATAGTCTGCTGCTTATTTTTTCTTCTCTTTTAAAGGCACACTGAAGCCTGAGCTCAGAAGTGCCCCGTCAGCAGTTCCACTTCTAGCTGATGCCACTCTCAGAACACCCGATTCCACACATTTTCTCCACTCTACCTTCCACAATTTTAGCACAAAGCCGCAACCTTGCTTGTCACAAGACACTGAGGATGTAACTCTCTTTTCCTTAAAGCACCAAGCGTGTTCAAGAGAAAGTAAATCCCCCTCCTCAGCACTAATCCCTGTGTTTTAGCTGCCAGCATAGGCTTTTCCTACACCTAAACCCATCCTCAATTTTTTTGCTTTATTTCTTCTTCGCTCCCTCCCATCTTGTAAAAGCTCCCTAAAACAAAGCAGCTCATAATTTAAGATGCCATTAAGAAAATTTCACAGCACCATGCAATAGCATAAATACGCCCGGTTCTGTTTGTTCTCCCCTCTCTACAATGCTGAATAACTGCCCCTTCTCAGAAATGCAAACATTTCGAGGGAGTTGTGGAGTCAAAATTTTGAATCAGCCTTCTTAGCTCACAGCACTAGCAGTTAATTTTTTTCAAACAACTGAAGGGAAAGATAAAAACCTAATTACATAAAAAAATTAGAAAAAGATATAAAGTGGAGCCACAAGCCAAGATAAGACAGGAACTTCAAAGATTCTGAAAAGAATACTCATTGTAATCTTTTAATTTCTTATGTTGTACTTATTCTCATAATTAATACTATTTAAATTAAGCTCTTATTATTTATGCAAATCTTTAATTTTACCTAGCTGACACAGAAACTCAATCACAGAACATGGATTCATTCATCTCACATTCAAATATCTACACAAACACATTAACAATAATTTTATATGCAGCTGATTCAACAATTACTTTAGCTTAGAATCCTGTGTATTTTGTTAACTAGTAATGTAAATTTCTGCATTTTTAAAGTCCATCAAATGACTTAATAATAGCCAAATTGGTACCTGAAAAAGTTATGTTTTAATTCAGTAACTGCTCTGGAGCTCTTCTTATTTGAAGAAATATACAATAATATAATATTAGATATGTACTACTACACATATACAAACAGATTTCTGAAAGTATATATAGGTAGTTTATAGCTGTATAGAACTTTAATTTATAGCTATAAAAAAATGGGACTTGTTGATGTTCCTGTATGCGTGCAGCCTTCAGTTGTGCCTGAGACAAAAGCCATTTGCAGCTCCATGGAGAGCTTTGGTGTTAAACCAGCAGAGCAGCGTTAAAACATGCACAGTAATGGAAGCTGTATTGCAAATTGTCCTTCCAAGACGAGTGGTAAACACATAGAAAGGTAAGTTACTGCCAGTTTTTAATGTTACTTTAATCAAGAGCTTCAAGTATTGGGAATGGTAAGACTCATTTATTTAAGACAGGTTCTTAAAAAGATCTACACCAAAACCATACTGAAATTCTTGCAATTCTGATAAAGAGTTTCAAATGTCATCGGTGTTGCCATACAACTCTAGCAAAGTTATCTTGACTGTTATTATGCTGCCAAACAAACAAAAATTTGTAGTATGAGACTTCTATTATTTTAGGGCTTCTTTTATGGCAAAATCATTATTTTATACTTCATGGGGTGCTAGAGCGTTACGGTTTTTTAACTTGCAACTCCATTTTTCTTAACTATTATGGTATAAAATAAGCTTAGTTCTGTTGTTTTTGCAAAACTATTTTTAGACATTAATTCTTGGAATAAAAAGAAAGCAACAAAACCAGAAAATAAAAATAATTCTAGCAATTTTTTATGCCAAACTGCAGCTACAAACAAATTTGAATTTTGATCCTGCAAACTTTTTTACCTGTGCTCAGTTTGAGACCACTTAGTAGTCCTTTCAGTTTCAGTGGGATTTTATGAAAACATAGATAAGCACTGCCAGGAATGGGACTTTAATCTGGTGCATCTTAAATCCTACAGAATGGACATGAAATGATCAGATTAAAACAAATAAACAAATAAAAAGATGTTCCTCTTATTCCCAATCCTGTTTGTTAACTTTTTATTTAACTCAGAGAAGCTAAGGGTACTTCTGCAAATTAAAATACTATGCAGCAATGCCTGAAATAACTCTAAACAACATGAGAAGCAGCATACTTAAGCAATGAGATACACCACAGAACTGCTTTAAGTATCTTCCGCAGCTTACTCAGAGTCAGCCATCACAGCACTGGATAGAAGTATTTAGTAAAAATAGGTCTTAGAGTCTCTAAAACAAAGTGTGTAACTGAGGTAATGAGATTACAAGCCGAAGTAGAGAACCCTCTTTGTGAAATCCTTTCCAGGAGCTTTTTAGAACAAGGCACTGGGATGTTTTCATTACTGCAAGGTCACTAGGAAAAAAACTTGACTCAGAAACACCTCTACCCAGCCCCCAGGTACTTTCAAAAAGCCTTATACTTATGCAGTCTGATGCAGACATGGTGAAGACTCCTACATATGTGAGACTAAACAAATGTGTAAACCACCACCAAAATGTGTGCTCACTTCCACTCCATCTTCAACAGAACCAATCAAAGGTGGGACGTGTGAGGTCTGTTGAAATTTATAATACAGTCGAGTAGAAGCAGGTTCTGGACAATCAGCATCTTTTGCACACACTATTGAACAGCCATAATATAATGATAAAAAAATTTCACCCAGAGTAGGAGACTCTAAGCCACCAAATTCCATTCATTTTCTTTACTGAAAAACCAATAAATGTTCCAAATGGGTTTGGGCTAGCAGGCAAGGGTACTAATTAATGAATATCAGAATAATTTTGGAATATAAACTAGGAATTTTCAGCTATTCTATTTAAAAAATAAAAAAGTGATGGCTTTCAATTTAGACTATGAATACAAACACAGTATGGGAAAAATTAAAATTAAACCAGAATGGCTTTAAGAGAGATTTATGGTATATCTGAATCTTAAAAAATGACTGATTACAGTATGTCTATAACAGGAAAAGAATTCCATCTCTAACAATAAATCTTATATAAGAGTTACAGGAAGACTGAAGCATTGGTGGATAAACATTCTCGTGTGTCTGACATGGAAGGAAAAGGAAAAAGATATCATGCATATGAAATACATAAACCCTTATAATGCAGCTGATTTCATAGGTGAAGCATACTGGGCTACAGTTTTACAGCAGCTAATGATGCTAATGCAGTCATAGACATTCTATCTTGCTTTATTTCTTAAATATTAAATAAATGGAAGTATGCATTTAAGGCAAAGTAATTTTAAGAAAGAAATGTTTGCAATACAGTAAGAACTCTTTTAATCAAATAAATGGTAAAATAGATTGTTTTCAAAGGGTTGGTGTACTGAAGCTTTAACTAAAGAGGAAAACATCTGCACTTAGATAATCTAGAACAATCACATATTTTCTCAGTTAAGTACTAAATAGGATAGTTATTAGGTATCATCATCATCTTTCATTCCAAGAGAGGAAAAAATACCTGTACTAATACAAACCTGCCTACAAATATCTGTAAGTATGGACTCATCTTGTAAAATAAACAAGATAATTACCACTGAAGAATAAAGACAGCAGAAATCAACATTCCCATAAAACAAATGACAGTTTGGAGTAGCTAAAATTACTCCCTTTAAAAGATACAAAACGAGTCCAATGATTTTCATGCCGCTTAGGAAACTGAATGACAGCTCAGAAGATCTTTCACTAGCATGGAATTTCAGACCTTATTTTTTACAGCAGTGCAGTTGTTTCCTTTTACTCATATATTTTAAACAAATTTCAAAAATCCATGCGTGAATTAAACTGCTTACCTTTGAGCCTCGCTCATTAAAAATAATTTCAACATCTAAGATTTTACCAAATTGCTGCAAAGAAATAGAAAAGTTACATGAAAATAAGGTATCTTCAACACTTCCATGATATAGGGTTCAAATGTTTGTTGAAGAAAATGGTGCATCACACTAGAAAGTTAATGAATATAAAATCGAAGATAGACAAGCACCAGAAAGTCACACTGAAGAGAAGCAAGATCCAGATCAACATTACAAGTGAAGTACACTTGTCACTGTCAGTCTACATATGCAGTTGTGGACTCTATGTTTAGTAAAACCACCTGACAAAGGAAATCATCATTAAACTCTGATCACAGTTAACTAAACGTCCCAATTTCTTTTTTTTTTCATTTTGTCTTTGCATATAATAGGTTACCTAGATGATCTTTAAGGTCCCTTGCAATCTAAACCATTCTCTAATTCTACGATTCCTTGTGATTTATCCAGTCCAGCTGCTATCACCATTTTTTGTTTTTGTTGTTGTTGTTGTTGTTGGGGTTTTTTGGGGGTTTTTGGTTTTTTTTTTAATGTAATGCTACTGGTTAATTTGCTTGGTGTGTAATAACAAGCAAGGATTAACAACTGCATGAATACTGTCACCCTCTGGCCATCCTTCCTTCTGAAGAACCTTTGTTTCAGATGACTTTTTGCAGCTGCTTCCCAGGACGGGTAAAGGAGTTTGGTTACTTCTACTGAACGGGAAGAAGACTAAACCAACTGAGAGTTTTGTCACTGGCATCAAGGGCTGAGGGTTTCTTTCCACCCTTACTGAAAAATGATAACCATTAATCCTTAAGCAATACTAGAGTATAATTTGGAAAACTAGAATGGATTCACACTTGATGGGGATTATTCCCTGCTCAAAACTGCACTTTAATTATAATAATAGTAGTAACAGTTATTACTATGGACCTTAAAATAGCACTCAAAATCATCTAGGCATTGTTCACATGCACAAAACTTGGTCACAGTTGCTATCTCAAAGAAAAAGGCTCTCTTGGACTTGCCTTAGTAAGAAAATAAATGTTGGACTCAGGCAGAGTTTAGTTTGTTATAATTATTATTGTCTTTGTGAGATATTTTGTGATGGGACACCGTAATGTACCAGTGGGTCGTTTCTGTCATTTCATGTGTCATTAGTGTGCAGTATGGGTCAGTGTTAACACTGATAAGTGACAAAATATATTAAACAAAAAGGTAGAAATTAGAGGCAGGCAAGTGAAGTGTAATCTGATAACAGTCAAAAAAACTGCAGAAATGAGTCTCTATTCAATATTTTGATATATGATAAAAAATTACAGGCCAGAAAAGACAGTATTCCTTCCCTAGCTTATTAAAATATTTCAACTTGGTTATGAAAATCAACCAACATTTGTTATCCCTTGGCTTATTTTATGTTCTTGTATTCACCATCTAATTAACGTTTTAACTGCAACTTTAGCCTATGAGCAGACATTGACTTAATGTTTAAACGATCCTCCTCTGCCATAAAGATTATCTACTAGCTGTATAACGTTTTTCATGATGCAGTACTACCATATTTCCTATCAGATATTTCAACTCACACATGCAGAAATTTCATTTTTCTATCAATTCAGAAGCCAAAAGTCTACTGCTACCAAGGCATTCTAAATCTAGAAAACTCTAGCTGTTCTCCAGTGTTAGTCATTTGAGACCTAAGACTTAAAAATATTGAAAAGAAGTATAGTTTTTATTCACTTATAAATTGCTACAATCCCTCAAAAAATAAAGGTTCTTTCATTTAATGTACTATCAAATAAAATCCATCTATCTTAAGTGGTTTGTTTAATTTAAATAAATTTGCATATTTCCCCCTAGAGGGTAAATTATTACGCCTGGTGCTATTTTGCTGATGTGCTGTAAGCTGCATTTAGGGGAGGTTACTCGTAGCAAGTCAGATAATGCGTAACAGTCACTCTCATTTCCCAATACATCATTAGGATTCTTTTTCCAGCATCTGTTTCCTTGATTTCATACAAATAAATAGTGAAATCCACAATGTCTTAACTCACATACAAAGAAATTAGAAGTTAAAAATCTGAACTGAACATAAACAATGGAGAGAAATATAGTGCCATGAGGTACTTGATGCTACACTGTATAAGAAACTAAGACAAAAGACAATTAAGTTTTAGTGAGTCAGAAATAATAAAGCAACAGGGCCATGAATATTTAAGAGTAATAAACTGGAAAAGGAAAAGCTGGGTTCTAGTAGCTGATCAAATACTATTTCTAGATTTTATTTAGTGACGTTTCAAAATAACACTAAGAGTTCTTGGAGAAGTGAGAAGACACCAGTTCTGACCTCTTACGGTCATAAGCCTAGAAGTAATGGAACGTGCTGGCAAAGACTTTAGAAGCTTACAGACCTACAGTACCTGTGGGGATGGATGAGGGTTCCTACTCCTGGATTTCCTGCTCATATTCAACCCATGTCTTCTATAGACTTGTGTCGCTTGCTCATGAGTTCAGACATTGACTATTCTACATCTTCTTCTCCAAAATCAATACAAACAGGCATATAAACCCAGATGTGTACAGCAGGAGTTTTAAGCCAATGTAGGTAGCTTTTTTAAAATACAATAAAAACCAGAACATAACATAGAGTACCCTCATCTGTATCACCTACAGTGGAACCGGTAGAATTTGTTTTTTCCAATTGTGACTGGCAAATCAGATACTGCACTCAAGGTTGCCTATAATATAAAATACTTATTGCAACACAAGTATAAAAAAGCATAAATAAAGTATAAGTACTTACACCAAACATTTGTCTAAGATCTGGATCCCGGAATCTGAATGGTATATTTGAGACGTGAAGCCGTTTTGGTTGTGATTTGTTTTCTGTGTTTTCAGAAGATTGTGTCTGTTGCTGGCCATCGGTCTGTGCTGCATCATCTGTCTGCTAAAAGGGTAAAGGAAAACAAAGTAAAGCACACTAAGTATTTCCACCACTCTTATTATAAAGTGGTGGCCTTAAATTCTCAAAAAAAAAAAAAATTACTAGAAAGGAATTAAATCTGTTCAGACAAAGGCACTGAAGAATGGGAAAAGTTTAAATATGTGAAATTCAAAGCCATTTCTATATCTGTCTCAACAGTATATGTTTTCAGTGATGTTTTTAATATGTATTTGGAATAAATTGGAGAATAGGAAGATTATTACTTGTTGATTTTCTTAGCTATTTTCAAATAATGCATAAATATGTCTCCCTATAAGATTCTGAAACCCCTTTAACCTGATCAAGTGTTTGCCAATGGAAGAAACTGAATCTCCAAGTCTGAATAACAGCCTACTTGCAGAGGCAAGCTGTACACTTTCAAATAAGATTAGTACTTTCATTCAGAGGCCACTGGGGCTTCTACACAGGAGGTCATAACACATCACACATCCTAGTTGCCATTTCATAAGCTGTGCTAATGGGCACTAGAGGGTCATTTTGTCTAGATAAATGGTCACCATTACGGAAAAGGCTTTGAGTTGTGAAAGGAAGCAGAAGTATAATCAGTGGTGAAGGTTGCCTGACATAAACGTGTGACCTGAAAACAAAGTTTTACAGATTTTCTTTCTTGCCAAAATAAGATCACATCATGCTACTTCTTATAGGGATAACCTTCCCTAGTTTTAAAATGCTATTTTATAATTGAAGGACATTGTTGTGCATTTCAATTTAACAAACAAACAGAATTATAAACCCCTAGAGAGATTTGGAAAAAAACAGTGTCCTTCATCCTAAAAGTAAAAACAAACAATGCTGGTCTATCAGTATATTATAGAAAATTTTGGGCTCTCTTCTTTAATGGTATCTTGCAGTGCCTAATTATTCACTGCAAGTACAGCATGCATTCACTAGAATATTTTGCACAGGTATATAAAAACAGTATAGTTATTTTCTTTTCCACTGGTACAGGGTATATGGAAAAAACAAAGAGGGAAGTAGATAGCTGAATGAAACTAGAAGGATCATCTTACAACTGTCACTATTTTCTCTGTCCTTCCTCTTCCTTCTGAGCATATGCATCTTGCAAGTATTTTCTCTTGTGTTCAGTGTTATGGTTTAGCTTGTCTTTCTGACTTTTTACAATTTAAAAAAAAAAAAAAATCTCCCATTTCCTGCTAGTATCAAATTTCTTTTGAGAGACAACAGTTTTTAGCAAAATAAAAATTGTTAGATAAAATGAACCTTACCACACAGTTTTAGTACCAATAAGGCTGTTGAGGAAGCAAAAGGACTCAAGCAGAATACATAATTTACACCAGCAATAAGAACACTTTACAAATAAATGGCCTTATCATTCCTGCAGGAGCATCAGTTCATCAGCAGTGACTGCATTTAATGGGATAGGATGATATTCATACACAAATACAAGCTTTTGTGTGAACTAAAGGGTTTTCAAGTGATCCAAACAAGGAACTGGGATAATTCAATTGTAAACCTAAGACTGAGTCAGTGTCACCCACACCTCTTCATCTGCTACCCCCTGAACTGAAAGCAGTGTCCCACAAATTAAACAGTTCACCTTTACAAATTTCTAGTGTTTTAAATACTGCAAACAGCATATAGCTGTTAAGAGACAAAAACATGTTCCATACTAATGTCTTGCTACCTAAAACCAACCGAAAAATTCAGAATTTAGATCTAGGCAACTGTTTCATCTATAAACGTCACAGAGATTACTTTCTACCTTCAGACCTTCTCCTCCTAAAAGGACAGGAATAAGAAGGCAGTTTGGTATGTGAGAGCAGCTGGGGAATGAGGAACTGGAAATTTGAACTGTAACACTCCAGAAGAATTTAAGGTCAATCAGCTTAATCTGAAATGAATTAAAGAATTCTGAAGGTGCTGTTCAGCTCCAGGAACAAAGGGTGCCCCAGGAAGAAATAATATAATCAGCATACTGTATCCATGCAAATTGGAAAAAGTAATTTCTGTTCATTATATTAATATAGACAATGAGAAACAAGGAGTAGGAGGGTTGAACTGTGCATAATTAGCATAAAAAAACATTAGGGGAAAATTCCGTACCAAGAACAGATGCACTGCCAACTAAAAACCAGTGAAGTTTCTGAAAATGATGCTAAAATGAGGGAGCTGCAAATTGTAGGTGAGGTGGGTAAATCCAGGCACAGTTATTTTCTGGGTATTACTTTTTGATTTTACTACTTTTGTTCACAGAAATCTGAAATTTACAGTTTCAGCAAAGAACATCTAAGAGTTTGGGCAGTGATGACTGAAACCAGAAACTGCAGAAAGTCATTATCCACAAAGATTCATCCCTGTAAATGCCCTAAAGAAATCTGTGGCAGAATTAACAGAACTAAACCTTTTAAAATATACCAAAAGGCTTGACAATATAACAGTGTCTTTACAAAGCATAAAGATTTACATTCACAGATTTACAAAATCTACAGCTGAGCCTAGGAGAACTGGAGAAGGATAACTGCAAATTGAAATTGGAATGTAAAGCTCACACAAAAATTTCCAAGTAACACCAAGGAGGTAAAATACACACAGGACAGCAGACAGGCTGGATTTTGCAAAATCCCAGGAAGTTTCAAAGCCCTGTGGACACGAAGAACTAAATACAATTTACCTTACACATAATGATACATTTCAAGAGAGTATTTTCATTTCTATAGGATCTAAAGACCGGTGTTTAATATTTCTTTAAAAATTAATTGGAAGTTGGTATGTGACATTAGCCTTGCTACATCCCTGCAGTCTAGTATGCAATCAGTACAAGTCCTGATCTATTATGGGTTTGGTCTCTTGCGATACCCTCTCTTGACTCAAAAAAGTAAATTAGTATGCTTTATGCAAAACAAATAAATAAATAACGCCCCTAAGCATTATTATTAAACAGAAATTACATAGAAGGGAGTACAGTCTGTGTGGTTTTTTTACATGACCTAATTTTTTAGTACAAAGCTGTATGAAAGTTCCCTTTGTGTATCAAAAAAGTAATGAATTTAACTTTGTGAAGAGATCATGATAAATAAACCAACTATTCAACACATTTTACTGCTGGAACTATCTGTTACCTAGTGGTCTTTGCTTTTCCTTGTGTGTGTATTGGGTTTATTTCCTATAGAAAAAGGCAATGTAAATTCATATACAGCTTCTAATCCATTATAATCTTGTTTATGGAACTGCTCTCTAACCAGTGATTTTCCATGCTGTATTTGTGCAGTTTGTTATTGCTGTGTAAACACCTTGCATTTGATTTCTTTGAATAGCATCTTATTTTTCTAGATGATACCTACAATTTATCAAGATTATTTTGAATTTTAATCCCGTCCTGCAATGTTCTCACAGTCCTTCCCAGCTTGGTATTGTTGCAAATTTAATAAGTACATACTGAAAAACACTGAGTCACCACAAATCCCTGCAGAATTCCTTTCAATAAATCTCATTTTGATAGTGAGGTACTTCTTAAACACAGTTCCTAGTTTTTCCCCCCAGCCTATTCTAGTTGCACGTTTACCACATTTACCAGCTTGCTTAAAAGCAAGTCTTGTGTGAAAGTGTCAAAGGTTCATGAAAAGCAAAATACAATATTCAAGGCTTTTTCTTTGTCCACAAGGCCACTGTAGAAGTAAGAGACTGTATCTTTTTGACAAATCCATGCTGGTGGTTGTTCTTCTTGTACTTTCAAGTGTTAGAAATGCAGTGTGCATTTACTTTTTGAGTATCTTCCCAGGACTGAAACTCTGATGACAGCACATCCCTTTAGCCTATATAACCAACATTCTCTCTCCCTCCTTAAAAAACAGGATTATGTCTACTCTACTCCAGCTCTCCAATCCTGCTACTCATTCTCCAGAAGGTAACAGACACAGACACTAAAGGATCCAAAATATTATCGGTTTAACATTTAAATACCTTGGAACAGAGCTCATTAGAAACAGTTAGCTGAAAAAAAAACCCTACCACGCTGCAATTACCTGAATATTCTTTAATCGGTTTATTCCCTCTTCAAGACTGACAACTGTTTCTGAGAGTTGTGAAATTCTTCTCATAATCACATGTCTGAGGCTGACTTTTACAGTAGGGAATCATGCAAAGAAGAAAGGTTCACTTACCCTTCTTCCTAAGATTGCATTTCATCCACATCCCTGGCCGTCTTCAAGGCCAGGCTGGATGCGGCTTGGAGCAACCTGGGCTAGTGCAAGGTGTCCCTGCCCATGGCAGGGGGGTTGGAACTAGATGGTCTTTAAAGTCCCTTCCAACCCAAACCAGTCTGTGATTCTATGATTCACTCTCAAAGATTTCGTCTAGTCTGGCATTAAGGATCATTTTCTCTATCCTGGCTCAAATCCCCTCTAGATGAACCTAGTTTTTGCAGGTATGAGTTTTCCACATAATTTTGAATTTTTTAATACCATTTCATACTCTTTTACTGTGACAGAATTGGTCACAACATCTCCATATGAGTACAATGTGGTCCAGTGTGGTCACAATGTACAGGTGTGGACACAATACAATGTTTATTACAGGGCATCAGTAAATATCCCAAAACAGACTGCTTCCATTTGCAAAGCCTGAGGTATGGAATGTCTATGAGACTGTAAAGTTCCTAAACATTTCTGGAACCATACAACATGCTTCACAGCTGTTAAAGTTATCTAAAAATAAATCCATTGGGTGACAGTTCGAATGACTTTAAAAGAAGCTGTTTTTCTAAACAGGTAGACCAAGAAGTAAAGCTACGAATGCACTGCGAGAACTGGTAATAACGGACCCTTGGTGCTATAAGAAATCAACGGTAACTGCAAGTTGTCAGCACCCTTGAAAATTACCACAGACTGGCTTTTTTCCTATGCATGTCAGTCAGCTCTGTATCAGGTTAGTCTGTAGCTCTGAGGTTTAAGATGTCATTTGTCATCTTCACCAAAAGGTCATTT